TGTTGAATAACTATAAAAACCTGGTGTTATATTAACACAGAAAAAGAATATATGGCTCATTTAAGTGATAGACGTTGAAATTTTTTCTCGCCCCGAAAAAAAATCGACGGACGAAAAAAAAACTAATAAAGCTCCACATCGGGGCGAAAAATAAATAAAAATAAGAAATATTAAGCAATCGTTTTTCTCTTCTTTTCCTTTTCCTTCACCATTTCTTTTGTCATTCTTCTGTCGATAGGACAAATTCCTAGAGGGCGTATCTCATTTTTCCGACGGGAACTTTTGCGAGATTGATGTTTTTATTTCTGCTCGGCAACGACTTACACATGCACCTTATTATTCGCATTTCCTATATATCTATTCGAAACGAGGGGTGGGGTGGAGAAGGAATCTTTACCGGAAAAGGGATTTTCCGTTGTTTTCCGTAGATCTACGTAAGGGCTTAGGCGTGGAAGAGACGAAAGTAAGCTTTAAATCAGATCAGTTTTGAGAAAACGTATATACTGTTCTTCAGTTTGTAAGTATTTCAGACATTTCTGAATACAGGAAACAAATCGGAATATTTATGGTTATTTTTGTAAGTAGCAGTTTGAATGTATCATTAAAATTAAAAAAAAAATAAAAAACTCTTGTTGAGAAAAAAAATGGTTTAAATTTTATCATTATTTCAATAATTCTATTTCATCTTTGTCTATTCCTTATCTAGCGTTAAGGCTTAAACTAAGGGTTATCAATAGAATTTCCGGAACCGGAGCTGTTTTTCGGAGCCGGGAATTTCGGTACCGCGCCTCTTAGGAACCAGGATTTCCCGTTTTTTTTCGGTACTTTCGGTACTGACTTTTTGTTCAACGGTGGTGCAGTTCATTGCTCCGAAAGCAAGGGATGGTTTTTCAAAGTAAAACTTAGTGTCTTGGTGTTTTAGAAAAAAATAGCATAAACACAAACATGAACACAAGTAAAGAAAATAGTATAGGTAAATTAAATTTCACATCAAACAACATAAACCAACTTAACTGAATTTGGGACAAAAGCCCTAAAATAATGAATTAAAACTGCAAATATCTATTAAAACATAACATAATAAATACATATTATAGGAACTTCAAAAGAGAAAAAAAGCAAAAACAATAAGAATTATTACTTATTTAGAAGAGTTTGATTTCGACCACTAGAAAGTATCAATAGACTTTCTCACGTAACAAAAAAATAATTTTTTAATTATTATTACCGAGGCCCGGTTCTATGATGGCCAAAAAGATCTGAACCCTAATTGGTAGTAATTAGAATTTCCGGAACCGTACTAAAATATTTTCGTTCAATGATTGTGAAATTCTGTAACGTGCCAAAATTTCACTATATTTTTTATTTATTTTTCTCAATAATTTAAGGCTAGTTGATATTATTATTAGCCTGAAATATCGATCAGTTCAATTCAGTAAACCAAGAATAAATAAATCGTACTTACATGTCAACAAAAGTAATTATTTCATCCTTATTTTTAACTAAACATATATCACACTTAATAACACTTTTTTTGCAGCACAATACTAGTTCGATTTAATACAATTTAATATTTATTTTAGCCGAAATATATAAAATAATTCTTTCCGCCGTTAATTCTGTTTATTTACTAAATACGTAGGTTAGAAATATTTGAATTGAAACGTCAAATATTTATTTATATTTTTCAATGACTAAAGAATCCAAGGACAAATAACACCCGAGAGCAAATTGTGACGATGACACCAAACAGTGCCGTGGCACATATTTTTCTTAACCTAGCTGTTTGAAGCAATACTTATATTTTTTGATAATTGTTTTGACTACGCCTATGGTGTATCATCCTAATTAATTACGAAAAAAACGTATTAAAATGTTAACAAAAGGTACAAAACTAGTATCGACGTATAGCACATATCAAGTACATATAGATGTTAATTGAAATTGAAAAATAATTATCGAATTCAATAAGAAAACGCTAAAAAGTTGGAGTGGACTGTTTATTTACCTATGAAACGTAACTCCTGGCTCTTTCTTATCGCTGCTGCTTTTACACTTAAAAGCTGAACAACTAATCACCATTGTAATAAAGTTTATACAAAGTTTACTACACACAAACTATTAAAAATCGCTAAAATTGTCGCTGGTGACCAAATGATGACTCATTGTTTGCCACCAATCAAAAAAGAAAGTCACAAATTCTGCTGCAGCCCGTATAGGGGCGTTACATGTCCTTATATTCTTTAGTCATTGATATTTTTATTAACATTAACTATTAGGCAACCCAAAATTTACTTTAATAAACTGATTATATATTTTTGTATTTTATTTAATCAACAGTAATTAATGAGCCAATTGTCACTTAGTTAAATTCATTAAATTTATGTTGCTCTATTTTAATTTCTAAGTGAAATTTTCTAAGCATAATTGTCTTAAAAATATCGTATCGATCCGGCAAGTGAGTCATGCGCAATATATCTAGATTGTTGTTATTTATTAATTTTTGAATGTTTTGATAAGCAAATTTCTATATAACTTTCATTAATCTCGTTAACTTTATTTATTCTATTAATTATATAAATTATATAAATTATTGATATTAACTTTATTTTCCTTTAACATATAACTTTTTCTTCATGTGTTTATTCAGCTCATGGTTGGCAATCCATATTTTATCAAGGGCTTGTGTTTTTATCTGGCTATTTCTTTATGACAAAAAAGGTTTTCGTTTTTCTTGGAACTACCTTGGTTTGGTCACTTTAGGTTCAGCTAGTGTGAGGTACAGAGGTCTCTCGGTCATTTTTGTCAAGTTTTTTTTTATTTTTACCCTTGTGGGGATTTTCGAGTGTGCCTCACAAACTACTGCAGCACCCTATCTTACCTCTTCTTTTTTTGGACGGTGCTACAGTTTACCGGTGACGGGATTTTCACCTCAAAAAGCGGACGTGGGTCAACCAAGCAGCCCGCCTTTTTTTTCTCATCGAGCACCCCATTCCATCCAGGGGAAGACCTAAGTTTAATCACTTGAGGATTCGTAAAAAAACCTGAGTTAGCAGGTAAAGCTTATTTTTTTTTATATTAATCCATTTCTTTCCACTTTTTTTTTCTTCTTATAAAAACTATCTTTTTTTATGATATCTCGTACTATGGAGAAACTATAATATTATTTCTCCGTAGGGTTTTTTTTGTCTGGGCCGGAGAAGTTTTTTGATTGGGCCGAAGAAGTTTTTCTTCTGCGTTCTTGCAAGACATTTTCTCTGAACCAGTTTTTTTGTTGGAGCAGTTTTTCTTGCCGTATATATTTTGCTTTTCTGGAGGAGTTGACAGTCGACGGTTGACAGTTGACAGCCGACGGTGTCTGCCCAAGTCACATGTTAATTTAGAAGATTTTCAACTATTTGGTATCGTACAATTCAATTTTTATTTTTTTCTATTTCACGATTTAAATTTTAATGGTGCCTACAAATACTGATGGTAGATAATTTTTTCTTAACATTATAATATAATTAGAATAAATTTTCACATACACAATTCTGTTGTTAAAATAATATTTCATTTCTTTTTCTCTCTTTAATTTTTTTTGTAAATTTAATATATAGCTGATATAGTTTCTTTTATCTCTATTTAAATCTATTAATTTCTTTTTTTTATCGATATCTGAATTTATTTTTGTAATTAGTAGTTGATTGTTTTAATTATATAATAATTATATTATTAATTATTAATATTAGCGAATTGGTTGATTATCCTTTATTTGATTTATTACTTTGTTGATTAATTTGATATATCATCTGAATTTAGTTGCGCTGATATATACATATATATTTTTTTGTAAATCTTACGTGATCACGGAAGTTACCAATTTATTTAGGTAATTTTACTATTTGCGTATTGTGATAAATATTTTTCTTGGTGCACAATTTTTTTCTATTGATTTATTTTATTTATTATTTACTATTTGGTATTTTCTATTTACTGTTTCCTATTATTTTTTTTATATTTTAATAGAGGCACTGAAGCTAATCAGTTTGCCCATTATTTTTTTTATATTTCCTTTGGCCCTACGTCTACTTAATTCTCTGAAATACTGTTTATTTTTTTTAATTCTATTTATGTATTTGTGGAACGTGTGAGGCCCTAAATATACCTTGGGGGATTTCTGACTTTTCCGTCTAAAGTCAGTGGCGCTCTTAACCCGCCCCTACTCTCCGAATTTTCTGAGCTAGGGCATAAATTTGTTCACGACCAGACCCCTGCAAATTCCGCAAATATTTATTTTTAATCACTAACTATATAACTTTTTTTTTATTTTTTTTTTATATTTTTCTTTCTATTTTTTTTTCTAAATTGAAAAGAGCCAAGCTAAGGCCAAACGCGGGACAGTTCGTCTATTAGCAAGCAATGGATGGATAAATAAAAGAATACCGAGGGTGCCATTTAAAAATCAAAAGTTATAGTCATTTCCGGTGAAGCAGGAAGTGACCGAAAACAATTGAATACGTCAATCAATCCTAATTTATGTCATATACTAACATACCAAATCTCGTTTTTTTATCTGAAAAGAATAAAAAAGTTATAGGGGTGAGCCACTTTTGAGACGCACCCGGTATAGATTAAATTTGATATTCTGTTTCATATCCTAGCAATAAGGCTGAAGTTCTGACAAATAAAAGCATAAAGTTTTTCTCTCTTTTTGAGAGTCAATTTTTATCTGAAGAAACATAACTCTGCCAGACTGGCGTAACATAAAGCCAGTTGTAAAAATCGAAATTTATTCCAACTATGCTTGGAGCGTAAACCATAAAGAACAAGAGTAACAAGAATATTCATTACCCTATAGGATATCCGGTAACGTAACAAATAGAAACAGGCGATTGCGACAGACACCTGTCGTTGTCTCATGGTCGCAAACAGAAATTCAAGAACCTACGGTATATACTACGACTATAAAAAGGCCCTTACTACGGGGATATTATATCAGTCGATTTACTAGTGTCCGATATGGCTCGCGTTCAGGTAAGACCATCTTGTTTTTATAACGGCTTCATGTAGGTATACAGGGTGGCGCACCTCATTAGCGTCGGTTGATTATACGAAAACAGAAAGATGTAGAAACAAAATTTATTATGAGTATATGTAGAGAGGCAATATGCATAATTTAAAATTATTTTCAAATGTACAGGGTGTGTCGAACTAAGATCCATACCAAAGTTATGTTTTTTCTTATGGATCACCCTGTATATGATTTAATTTTTGGATTCTTGGGCATAAAATAAGGCATTTATTATAAGGGTCTAATATGTTTAAATGCTTTGGTTTTTGAGATATTTAAAGATATTTAAATATGCATGCTAATAAAAAAGTTGGTCAACACCCTGTACATTACTTTTCAGAGTTAATTCTTGTGCTGACTTTGAAGCCAAAGAAATAAACTTCACTAAAAAATGGTATGGCTTCCTTAAATGTATACAGGGGTATCAAAAATTGCTGGGCTATTTTAAATATTTATTTTACATAAAAACTTCGTTATTTCAAATACAACACTGTGTATTTTTTTTAAATAAGTCGAAGCAGATTTTAATGCTCTTTCAAATTATATTAGGGTTTCCTATATCTATCTGGCTTAGATTTTGAATAAAAAGCGATTTTTCAATAAAATAGCAATCTAGATGGCTGGTGTCGTCATGGCAATTTGCTAGTGACAGTTAGTAGCTATTTTCAAAATCGACATTACTTGATGGACTTTATTTAAATTTATAACAGTTTACTTTTATTTAATTTACCTGTAATAGTTTAATAACTAAGTATTTATTATTTTATCAAGAAAAATAAAGAAGTAGTTCTTTGATTTATATTACGATGACTTGTAGATATATTGGATTTTGTATAAAAGAATCAATTAAAGTAAATTCATTTTCTTCACTCCCAACTAGAAGTTTCTGCCTAATAGGTTTTTCACATATTACACTAACAGCTCTGCGAAATAGGAAAAGTAGTATTTCATAAAAACTCTTGTCAAGAAAATTTCTATTTGGATATCTTTGGGCATAAACCCTTCAGGCCAAAAAGCAATTGTCCTTACAAAATAGAATCACTAGTAACATATCCATTCGTTCTACCAGCAGATACTGCTTCATTTTTGATAAAATAATAAATACTTACTATTATTAACCTTATTGTAGGTAAATTAAATAAAAATAACCTGTTATAAATTTAAATAAAGTCCATAAACTAATGTCTATTTTGAAAATAGCTACTAAGTGTCGCTAGAAAAATGCCATGGCGACATCAGCCATCTTGATTACAATTTTATTGAAAAATCGCTTTTTATTTAAAATCTGAGCAAGATAGGTATAGGAAACCCTAATATAGTTTAAAAGAGCATTTAAACATGCATTAAAACCTGCTTCGACTTACTTAAAAAAATACATAATGTTGCATTTGAAATAACGAAGTTTTTATGTAAAATAAATATTTAAAATAGACCAGCCATTTTTAATACCCCTGTATACATTTGAGGATATTTATTTTTTTTAAATTAATCATAAATTTTTCTGCGAAAAAATGATGGTAAAGAACTTTTGGCACAAAAACATTTCAAATTTATGATTTCTGGCTAATAACTATTTAGTCAACATGTTTAATTTGTGTCATGATGACAAAATCAATTTTCTTATGTCAAAAAACTCCCAGACACCAATTTTCATCCAAATATTGATGTTACTTCAGAAATTATTTAGAAAAAATCGAAATAAAAATGAAACTTCTACAAACTGTATCTCCGAAACTAATAGGCATGTTGGAACATACATTTATGCGAACTTTTTTACTTATTTTTATCTGTAAAATATGCTGCCGAAGTTTCCGGAATACAGGTTGGACCACCCTGTATAAAGAATGATTCTTGGACCTATTTTAAGAAATAAAATCATATGAGTGTATGTCCTAAACAGCTTAACTGTTGAGATACAGGGTGGTAACATTTTCTAAAAAAAAATATTTTCATAACTCGGATGTTATTATACAGGGTGGTCCGAATCGTATTCGGGAAACTTCGGCAGCATATTCTGCAGATAAAAATATGTAAATAAGTTCTTAGAAATGTATGTCCTAAAATGCTTCATTTCAGAGATACAGGGTGTAGAAGTTTAATTTTTATTTCAATTTTTTCTAAATAATTTCTGAACTATCGTCAATATTTGGATCAAAATTGATGTGTGGGTGTTTTTTGACATGAGAAATTTGACTCCGGTGTCAATATGATTCTTAAGCGGCACATACATTATCAAACAAAATTGCGCAACACAGGCTGTTGCGCAACAAGTTGCCAATGTATGGCCCTGTGATGTGTTGCGCAATTGTTTGATAAGTTTCAAGAATAATCTCTTTTGTGCAACGAGACTTTTGCGCAACGCGTTGTGTATATGTAGTGTATGTGTGTTTTGCGCTTTACTTATAAGAGGCGTCATCTATATATTTTTTAAGTAGTAACAGTAATAAATTTTCGTCCGTATCTGTATAAAACTACTCAGTAAAAAAATATACATTTCCGCTATTTTTAAAAAAGATCTCTTGGTAAAACTTATCTGTGGTAAAACTAACTACGGGTAATGCTTTTCGTGATATTTGGAATCGAAATAATCAATACATGTCATGATTATTATTAGACTAAAATCATAAATTTAAAATGTTATTGTGCATGTTAAGGTTTAACAGAAACTGTTTCATCATAATTGTTTCTATAGAAAAAAGTATGATTAATTTAAAAATATAAAAAGTTCCCTCATTTATCATCATAGTCAAATAACTAACTAGTCTACATGTTCATGATGAAATATATTGATAATTTCCATTCCAAATAACTTGAAAACGGTGCAATATCTGTATATTCCAGAGCTCCAATTCTCATTATCCAAAGAAATTCAGCCACCAAATACAAAGTGTTAATTTTAACTTCATTTTTCCAATAAAACAATAAGCATTCCGCCTATAATCCCATCTCACCCCCGAAACTATCATAATAAACCCCCCTAAACCTAATAAAACAGTTGGTAAACTAAGCGCTTATCTCGGGTCCGGTGGCGGCATCTTTCCCCCCACCCTTGTCCCCCCTCCCACGCTCTCGGACGTAAATATATTCCAGAGCCGCATCCACAAATTCGGCCACTTTCGACCATTAATCGGTCTTTCCCCCCTTTTTACTGCCGCCCCTTAGCAGGGGGGTCATAACGGTCGCGCCCTCTCGTTCTCATTATCGGAATTTGTAACCGAAGCCGCCCGGGCATGTCGTTTATTTTTCTTATTACGGGGCGGTCGTTGTGGATGCGGTGGGTTCTAAGTTAAAGGGGGACATGGACAAGCTTTTTTGATACAGTTTCGTGTATACTTTGTTAAAAAGGCCATTTAAAAATCAAAATTTGTGGTAAAAGTTTTTATGTTCTGTTCTGTGGAGGCTCTATGTTCGATGTGGAACATTGCTTCAGAACGTCAACAATTTTAAGAGACGTGTCTGTATTCAAAAAACTAAAGAATCCTCATAGAATTATACAGGATGTCCCAGAAATAATTCCACGCCCCTTCTAATTTGAAGTTCAATAAAACACAAGTTTACTTAATGCAGAATGAGTTGCGTAGAGGCCACTAGCTTTTTAATTTTAACAGCCGGGTGGTCGGGGTTCAAAGATATTAATAAAAGGGCACCACGAGATTATACTCTATGAACTCGGCAATAAAGATGTAACTATTAAGTAGACTTCAACACTAACCTCGAACTGTTGAGTGCAACTACCATGAACTTCAAATATTACTATAATTATTTGAACTTGAGTGACTCTAACTTAACTATGAGACTAAACTGTAAATAATACTACTAAAAATATTTAAGCAATTTATTGAAATATCAAAAAGGTTAAATGTATAAAAAAAAATGATGAAATGTATATGAAATGAAGTAAAGTTTAAATCGATAAGAATAAATGAAAAATGAAAATGGTCTAAGCTATACTAAAACTAAGACGTCATCCCCCTTAACTTAAACTAAGTATGCTCTAAGGGCGCAATATAAATAGCAAATCTAAACCTAACTAAAATCTAAATAGTCTTACTCTACTCGATGTGATATACTTGAAAACTTCTCGGAAGTTTCTCCGGCTTAGCTATAGTGCATAGCTACAGGGTGGCTACGACGGTGTACAGCAGCTCAGTGTACTGTCACTGGAGCCCACGGATGTCAGCAGACGTACGGATGCCGGGTAGGTGTAGGACTTCAAAAGGTGAACATAAAAAACCCTCAACGAGGGTTTATGATGTCCAACGGGTAACTCTACACACGGGCAACCGGAACGGATGGAATTCTGGACTGTTCTGTGCTGTACGGTCTGGATCGGTCTTCTTGCTCTACAATTACGAACAGCCAAATAAGACTTAAGAAAGATAACACTCAACTAATCTTTCCACACCACGTGGGCGTGGAAAAGTAGAAATACAAAAAACAATATGAACAAAAATCAGTTGAGCATTGACTTAGAATAGGCAGAAGAATTATAGCATACCTTGGAACTGTTCGGGGACTTCTTGGGCACGTGGAATCGGAATATCGGTCGGAAAAAGGCTATTTTAATCCCATTATGGAAACTGGTCGGTGGTCCATGTAAATCCCACAAAATACAACCACGTCTCTAACCAAATGTGTTCCGGAAAACTTAATCCTTCACTAGGAAGACCTGCTAATCACCAACAGGGAATGCTTCACGGAACGGCAGCCAGTTCTTCACGACGACACTCTTCAGCCGGGGAGTACACAAGAAGTGATGCAAGGATTCGATTTCCTTCACAAAATCAGATTTCAACCGGAAATCTCCCTCCAGGATATAGATAGAGAACTATATATCTTGACTAGTCCAACTCACAAAAGGCATAAATAAAAATGATGTTTTCTCCTCAGCCATATTCCATATCCGGTCAATGAACGAACTAAACTCAGAAATTCCACAATTAAAAGAACGAATTGCACACTG